ATCGACTCCGGAACTCCACCGGAGCGAGCAATGGTAGTGGAGTCGACGGGGGAGCCGCAGCCGTCGATCCCGCGCCGTGAGGATGGGAGGTAAGCCAGAATAAGATATGTCAACTTCAGCTAGAAGTTGCGTATCTTACATCGACACCCCCCCCCCCCCATAGTGTAGACCAGGCTTGATGTGTCTCTATATGCAGCCCAAATTGCACTGGCCTTTTTTATTTTTTTGCAACCACATCACATTAGAAAAACCTCGGTTGTAGTGATGCCCATCATGACTTCCAAGCCTCTTCCAACATTCCTGTTTTTCTCTGCATATTTTTTAATTGTTGCTCCTCAAGGATATTTAGCTAGACTAAGTTCTTTGGGATACAGGTTATTTTTTACTACGTGTTTGCACTGGGTCAAATTTTTAAAGTGCAAGTGACTTAGACGCTCAAGTCCCACTGATTTCCATTGAAACTTCAGCTCCTAGGAGCCAGTCTCTTTCGGGACTTAAGTTCTGGTGAAAGCTTTTCCCTTTAGTGTACAGTACAATGGGAACCCAATCTGAGTTGTGGACTCTGTTAGGCACTATGCTAATGCAAATAATAAAATTGTTGGTGTTTGATATTAATTTTCTGTATTTCTAACTTATGTTCCATTGGGTTGTGTGTCCACTCCCCATTAATCTTATGATCTCAAGCAGTGCCTGCCTCTCAATAAGAAACAGGGTTCAGATTGCTTCTCGTCTGCTAGAAAACTATGTTCTGCACCATAGCTTCGTCCTGCAGAACTCTGGAATCTTTTGCTATTGCTCAATACCCAACAGATACCTGGGCAGTTAGAATACTGCATGAATTCTTGCGGTCTTCCTGTTTTGAATGTCTGTAGTAGATGCCCACAGTTCTGTTAATGCAAGGGGAGATTATCTATACCCAAACAATTCCTTTCATCACACCTGATAACCTGGTGGCACCCTCCCATCTTCTCCTGTACAGATTAGTCTCCTCTTTACTGACATTCTAGTCCTCAGAATTATCCTGAATGTGTGTGCCAACTTCATTATAATTGTCACAATTTAATCTCGGTTTTCTCTGCACCTGATGTTTTTATCCAAACAGCAACTCTATATTCTGCCTTACATTGTATGTTCAGCTCAACCCACAACCTTAGCACTTGCTTTCTGGGGAACACTCAGGGATTCACAGTTTGGGACACACGACACATTTGCTGGGGGGGGGGGGGGGGGAAGAACCACATTTCTATAAATAGGAATGCTTCATTTTTCATCTTTTGGACTTACCTTGAACATTGTAGACTCCTACTGCCCAGTGTTGTTTCCACAAATGTAGTTTGGAAATGTGCACGTGCCCATAAGCTAATAACTTGGCTCCTCCATTTGACATTTAGAGAGGACTTACAGAAGAGATCATATCCACAAAATCAGTCATAATGCATATAAATCTTATCTTTGAGACAAGAAACTAAATCCAGATAGTTGATAAAAGGATTAATAGCAGTCCTAATATTTTTCCCAGGACTGCCATGTTCAAACCCCACAGTGATCAGCAACCGTCTAAAAAACACTAGACAGATAAGGTTATAAAATTAACATTGCAGCATCTGAAAAGCTTTTTTGTTCTTTCAATCCTGGTGCGTTCCTTCTGCCTTGTCAATGAATGAGTCTTTGGCACTGGTAATAACCTCTTAATACTGATGAAAAACAAGTGCTGCTTTTGCAACTTGCTAGCTACACATAGCATGCATTTTCTTATTGTCTGATTACCAATTAGAACAATGATTACATCTTTCCTAATCTTGTTGATTACAAATAAAAGGACTGATTAGAGACCTAATTAGAGTGAAGTAACTGACTGAAAACTACTATAACTTATAGTATACTACAATCCTAATTACTACAGTATGGCGAATTTACCTGTGATCTGATTTTGACTGTGTGAATTTTTGCCCCCCCCCCCAGATTATGATCTTAGAACCCTGGAAAATAGGAGTAAAATTGGATATGGTGTTTAGGAGATATGAGGATTTCAATAATAAAAAAAGTGATCTGACTTCTTGAACTAATTTTAGCTCATCATAACTCCAAAATGGGTTGGCCTAGGAACTCATTGTTTTAGCTTGTTGTATCGTAATGAGAAGTGCTGCCTTTGATTAATTCTGAGGAACGTCTTAATGGAAGTTATTCAAAATCCCATCCACATTCCTTTTGCCTTAAATGCAGATTGCCACAATGAGAGAGTGTGGGAGAGAAGGCAGCAGACGGAAAACACAGTGGTGTGGCCTACAGGAAGAAACTCATATGGGGCACTCAAATGCCAGTCTAGGAGGACTGAAAGAAAGCCATATGGCTACATCTACAATGGCTCCTGCTTTCTTTAAGGCCATATGCCAGCAGAGAGCACTAGTGCATCTCTTCACTGAAACGGATCATATTCAGAAAGTTACCCAATGCCCCAAAGAATGCCTTACTTTGACCCCTAGCATAGATGCACGATTACTGTACCTAGAACTACAAACACTAGACGAAAAGTTAAGTGGCTTACATGAGCCACTGCAGGAAGCAGATCACACCTTCATATTGGATACATTTGTACAAAACCAAACCCATGCACTCCACAGCTCGGCAAACAGGAGCAGATTTAAGATGTCTGCAGCCACTGGCTGTGAACTTAGTCCTCATCAAAACCACCTTCATTTGAAAGCCCTGCATTAAAAGTTCTCCATCTTTCTCGTTAAGTACAACAGGTGAAGAGAATGGAAGGTTGGCGGGATACAGGGGTAGAGTTAAGGTTGCTTGAGTGGCCACAGATGTGCATTCCCACACTTCCAAGTTTTCTAATTCTGGCTTTCAAACACTGGTGATTTTACCAAAAGAACTCTCCCTTAAAAAAAAAAAAAAAAAACCTACCTAAACGAAAAGGAAG